ATTAAGAAAAGCTGTCTGATGGTTTTTTTTTTTTCCGAGGGGAGGAGGAGGGGCGTTTAAAATCTTTTTACTTCATTTAAATCGCTTGCTAAATTTACATTAACATGGTACTCATTTCCGAAATACCATTTAATCATAACATATAAGATTCACATTTCGACATGTTACTTCCCTTATCACTAATGGCACAAAGCATTTGATCCTTGACTATTCGTTTGTTGAGATTCATCGTTGGAGATAGTTTTAGATATTAAAAGTCTTGAACACTTGAACAATGTGTTTCACTTTGTTGTTCGTATGTTTGACTCCCATCGTTTACTTAATAAAGTGTAACTTTAAAAATAATGATTATTCGTGTGTTAGTATATCATATAAATATAGCGCATATTTTCTTACCCGTAAAAATGGCAACAAATACATCGCCTTATTAGTAATTTTTTTTCTGTTTTAATTAAGTTTATTTTGTTAGTGAATCTACAGTGAAACTTATTTTATATTGATCTGATCAATTTATTTTGTATTAGTCTATTTGTCTTTTTTTCTTCTTATATTGTCTTCAGGTATTATATCCTGCATTGTACCTGTTGTTTACAAACTAGCTACAACTAACATGGATTGTTATTTATATAATATATTTTTTACAATTGGTCTAAGAGGTCTGTCATTTTTATGTAATTTACTGAGACCATGTATTAGTGGTATTAACTAATGTCTAGTTATAAGTTTTTCTTTAAACTTTTCATTCATAAATTTCATTTTCATTAACTTATTAATATATGTTAAGATCCAGTAGGTTATGCATTTTTTCATCGTACTTAGTCTTAGTAATTATCACGGTTGTTTTAGTTTTATCTAATTTTATGATTAATAATTCTGGATGGTTTAAAAAAAAAAATGTTTCTATTTGTTAATTTTATTGTGTATGGGTTGATTTGAGATATTCTATTGATTTTTATTTTTGTCCATAAAATCATTTATGTGTAAATTGTAGCCAGATTCCATGGCTACTCTGTTTATAAGCCAATAAATAACTAAATAATTCATAGAAAAAAAAAACAAAAAAACAAAACATGATTCTTGTCTAGCAGATTTTTCGGCAAAAAATAAATTTCTCGGACTGACACCTTACTCCGGAGTTGCCCAAAGACGTGGAACTCTTACATCGAAATTACGGCATTTAAAAGAAGCCAACCAATTTATATTACAAAAGTTTGTAATTAACTGAAGTAAAAGTTAACGACCTCTGAAGATCTTTCTGTTTTTCATTATATATATCTGAAATGTCATGGTTCGATTTACGATTTTATTTATTTTTTAACTTGTGTTATCAGCCATCGTGTTTTCTTTTCATATCAATAATATTTTATTACTGTTTTTAGCCATTGATAATGCCATCTTATCATTTTTCATTAAAATAATATTTTTATAATATCGTACTTAAATTATCATTTATTTCTACTAATGAGATAAATAAGAAAATATTTTATTAATAGTTTTGATATTATAGTACTTTGTAATAATTATAATTCATTATTTTATTTATCATAAATTTTTAATTTTCAAGTTACATGATTATAGTAATGTCTATTTGCACTTACTGAGTTGAGCTTTGGGGTTTCACTGAACCATCCAATTCCTCTTGCATACAATCTTACAATCTAACCTTCCTTTAAGGATATTCATGCACTTGTTGTAAATTATTAATGTGGTTTTGTGCTAAGGAGTCAGCACAAATTTTAGATAAATGGTAAATAAATGTCTGTTTTAGCGTGCTAAAGTATTATTAGTTATAATAAGATTATACCTGTACTACAAATAAAGTTTGTGGTTAGGATAAAAAATTAAAGTAAAAAAAGAACACATCTTTCTGATAATTTCACATAGTAAAACATTTTTCAAAATTTTTTATACTTGCGTTGTTCCACCGGACGAACGATATAGTCATACGATAGATATCATTTGTTTATAGGTAAATAGTTGAAAGTTTTGAAGATAAACTACAAATGAGGATATAATAGGACATAAAAGTAAGTGACAGATATATATATATATATATATATATATATATATATATATATATATATATATATATATATATATATATATATATATATCTGTATATATATATTTACAACTTTTCCTTAATCAACCTTTGGTATTATATTTAAACTTAACTATTTAATTGGGAATAAGGTCACTTAATTATTATTTAATTAAGATCAGGGGCACACTAACAGTCTCAGCACCGTCCACTAGCACATATATTAAGCTACTTATATACTTAATATACACTCAGTATATTATGGCCTGATCGAAGCTCTATTTTTTAAAATTCTACCTTTGAAAAGGATTCCATGGTTGACTAATAAAAAGAAAATACCGGGATCGAAACGTCAATAAACAGAAGAAATGAACATTCAATAGTTTATTAAATAATAATTAAGTGACCTTATTCCCAATTAAATAGTTAAGTTTAAATTTAATACTCAAAGGTCGATTAAGGAAAAGTTGTAAAGATATAGAATTAAGGGAGAAATTATTGTTTGCTAGAATTACGACTGACTTATTGGTTGGTTTCAGTTTTTGTTTTCTTGTTACTATTTTAAAGTTTTAGTTGATAAAAATAAAAAAATCATGGACATCTTTTATGAAATAAAATATAAAAACGGGAATGATATTAGCAAAACAGCAAAAGAGTATTCGAAAATAATAAAGAAGCTGTCACATTTGGAACCGCAGGGGTTATTTCTTCTAAAATGTAGAAAATACAATATGTTTCCACCATACATTGTAGATAGCACCAAGAACATTTATAAGCTTATTCCTGACAATTCAAAGTTCACAAAACCGCTAGAGAATATTATATTGAGAACACAGAGTTCAATTTTAAACCTAGAAATAAAAGAAATTTGTTCGACTCTGAAATTTATCAAATATAAAATAGAATATAAAATAACATTCTTGTAGAACTTTCGGACGAAAAAAAACAAAAAAACAGTAGATTAATATATGTGCTAGTGGACGGTGCTGAGACTGTCGGTGTGCCCCTGGCCTGATCGAAATTCTATTTTTTTAAAGTCTAGCTTTGAAGAGGATCCCATGGTTGACTAATAAAAAGAAAATACCGGGATCGAAACGTCAATAAACAGAAGAAATAAACATTCAATAGTTTATTAAATAATAATTAAGTGACCTTATTCCCAATTAAATAGTTAAGTTAAATATATATATATATATATATATATATATATATATATATATATATATATATATATATATATATATATATATAGTGTCGATAACTTTGTACCATCCGTCCCATTACTTCCAGAAGTTGTCAAGTTATCCCGTAGCCATTGGTTTGTATGACAACTCCTACAAAGACCTACCCTTGTTAGGTAACGTCGCTGCTGTGACTTCAATGCCAGTCCATATTCCTGGAACCAATAAAATACAACGCTGCCCACGCCAGAGACAATGGAGTCTGTTCTCAGCTGAGATAGGGGTATCCAGGGGCAGTGACCCCCGGATAGCTTAGAAAAAAAATAAAATAAAACAGCGAGAAATATAAACAACATATTTCAGAAAAAAATGATAGAGAGGTTGAATGTTAGTGTTGAATTGTCAAGATATTTTTAAAATAAAAATTGATAGTTTTAAAAAAAAAAATGACATGAAAATAGTTTTATTAATCAAAATACGCTCTATTTCTTCCAATGTCTCCGTAATCTTTTCATTCCTTTTAAGTATAATATTGGATCGCTATCCCCATCCCTATCCCTATCCCTACATATATTATTACTGTAAGGCTCGAAATCTGTTTTATACCAAATATAAGCTCCTGCCATGCTCAAATGCTCAAATGAATGGCTTACCGTTGGATTCAGAATTTCACGGAGGGTTTAGCGAATCGTATTCTCCGCTTTTGTTTTTCTTTATAAAATAAATAAAGTCGATACAAACATTTTGCTAGGTTTCAATACTGGAACGGTGGTAAGTCTGTAGATCGGTACAGGACAAATTGGGTTTTGAAGATTTTGATGCGTACAGCAAGACGTAAGATTTTTTTCATTAACTAAATAGTGTGACCAAGGAAATAAAAAAAAAGAGACAGACTTCGCAAGTACTCTAGCAGTGTTTTACTCGAATCATTTCTTTCATAAAACTTTTTTGTCGGGCAGTTTGTCATTAATAATCAATTGGAAATATCAAGAATCGGAACAAGAACTGTTCTAACGGTGAAAGTATGATGAAGAAACTTGCTCGAAAACTTATAATAAATTAAAAAACTTCGGTTGCAGCCCTCGCGAAGGCCGACTGAAACCCGAAGACACTCATGTTGACATTTCCAACTTCCAAGTCCACGACAACTTCTCCCGAGCCCCAACCGGAACATCTCGTAAATTATCATGACACACAACTTAATAATAACGCTTCCGGCAGGAACAAACTTGAAAAAAAGTTATCCTCTTCTTTCGTTTTAAAGTAAATATTCTCGGCAAAGTTTTTTAAAAAGGAGGAAAATGTCAAGATTTCAAGAGAAAAAATAAATTTACTCCGATTCTTGGAAAATATTTATTCATGAAGTTGTGTGTTATTATCAGTAAAGGAAGTGATGTAATCTAAAGACTTTAAATTTTTGAACATAGGGGCTTCATTAGTGGCGCTCCCTAGTGTAGAGTACTATTTAATAAGTGAAATAATGCAGCTCTGACTAGACGTTACTTTTAAAATTAGCTTTCGCGCGCATTAAATATAATTTTTTTTAATTGTATGTCTGACAAAAAAATTAGAATAATCTGGCCAAAATAAAAATAAAAATCAAGTAGGACCAACGCACCAGTTATGGACAGGGTCACAGTGATAGACAGGTTGGACTTAAGATGTAAATAATAAGCTTCCTTGTTGATTTAAAGGTTTTGGTTTTTCTAGATTGGAGAATAGTGCCCTCTATTGACAACTGTATGAACAATGTTACCAAAAGAAAACTTTAAAATGCCTATCATTGTTGTTTCTATTGTGTTCTTGAGATCAGTGTGTTTTATATCTTCCTAATAAAGGTTTTGCAAAGAGTAAGTTAAACATTTATGTTATCATTTTATCTTTATCGTTATCTTTATAGTTAAATAAAAATTAAGTATTTTTTTGAGGTGTGTCCATTACTGGTACCGACTTCCAGTTCATTACTAGAACAATTGATGTTCGGGATTTTAATTAATCTTTATTGCAATAGTATCCTGTCCGTAAAACACATTTTCCAAGATTGTCCGTTTTATAATCGTAAATTAAATATATAATTAGCCTTAGGAAACGACAGCAATAGAACTGACTAAATAATAAAATTTCTAACAAGGGTAAATTTAATGAAAGAGCTATAATAAGAATTTCTATTTATCTTTTTCTTTTATTTAATTTGGTTCCCTTTATATATATGCATATTACCTTTTCCCCCTTATTTTATTTATTTATTTTTTATTATTATTACTCTTTTATTTATTTTATTTAATTATTTTATATATATATATTTACAACTTTTCCTTAATCCACCTTTGAATATTAATTTAAAGTTAACTATTTATTGGGAATAAGGTCATTTAATTAAATTAAAGGGAAATTAAACTACCTTATTCCCAATAAATAGTTAAGTTTAAATATATATATATATATATATACATATATATATATATATATATATATATATATATATATATATATATATATATAAATATATAATTTTTTTTTTCTTTCCATTAAACCTACCAGCTAAATATTTTAATAATAATATTTTATGGATTTTTAGGCGCTGATGACCTAGATTTTTGGCGCCCATAACATCAAAATAACAAACCAATTAATCTTTTTTTTTAATAGAGGTTATACCTCCATAACTGATTTTTTCTTTTTAATTTCAAAGATGTTAAATGTTAAATAGAAAAAGAATACCCAAGAGATTCTAAAGGTCCAAGGGAGAAGTTTATAACTATAATAATTAAGACGGCATAAGCCAAAAATTTCCTTAGCTATGTCCATAACTGGTGCGCTTGCTCTATGTATACTGTATAAGTTTTAACACAGCTTTGTTTTTGTGGTAAAGTGTTTGAAACAGTGGTTTGTCTTCAACGAAATTGTCATCGTTCTTTAAAAGTAACAAACACGGCCATGTCTATCGTGATATTGAAATGATTGATATGTTAATTTGATTATAATTATTGAAATTAATTAACTTAAAATTAATTATAAGTTGTATTAATTTCGTAGATTTTTTTCCCTACTCGCCCCTTTTGCTGCCTCAATGGCTCCTATTGCTTCACGGTACTTTTATCGTAGTTAAAATCTTGAATTGAAGCTTAATGTTATAGGAGCAGGATTTTTTTTATTGCCCGTTTTGGTCATTATACCTTACCAGCTGATTTTAATGCAATCATTTAGATGATCCTTTTCTCTTTTTTGTCTGGAGACTCATTTGATAACTCAATCCCCAATTGACAACCCAGAGAGGAGGACCATCTCATTTATTGAAAATCTCATTCATTAAAATCAGCCTGATGAAGGTCTAATGACTGAAACCAATTGGAGAATTCAGGAGAAGAAAGAAAAAGACACCTAAACTAATCAATCTTAAACAAAGATGACAATGGGGAACTCCAATTGTCAAATAAGAGTGAATAAAGAGATGTCTAAGACCATGGAAATAAAAAATGAGTAAAAAAAAAGAAATAAAAAAAGGTATGTTTCGTGGTGTCTGTGAGAATGAGGAGTAGGAAAAATAAAGAGATTTATGATCTTTATAACGACCTTCGACTGTCAAATGTGATAAGAATGAGTAGGCTAAAATGGTTTGGCCATGTCAACCGAATAAATGAAGGCAGACAGGTGAAGAAGGTCTACACAGGGAGAATCTTCGCCATTAGATCGTAGGGACGACCGCGGGCGGGTCTACGGAGGAGGGGGAGCTTTCGGGCTGAAGTCCCTTTACCCAAAAAATGGTTATTTTATTTTATTTATTTTAAATGATATTTACAACTGTATACAAAAAATACATCTAGTAAATTTGCACATTGGTATAAAGACATGGAACACATGTTGAGAAACTACCCATTGGTAGCACTCTAATAATATGTCTATATTAGAAGATCACGTGGCCATCTTCTTTTCAGACGCCTCGGAGGGTTATCAGGAATCGAATAGGAAGCAAGGTTAGAGACAAGAGGGTTGGGATGGTTATGAAGTTTATTATGGAAGGACAGATATCTGGATTGGGCCAAATCTGATACATAAGGAACATTAAGGTCATTATGGATAATTTTATTTGTAACAAATGTAAGGAGCATTGAGGATTTCACGAAGGATTTTGGATTGCAAGGACTGTATGCGAGAGGAATTTGAAGGCTTGGTGGAGCCCCATAGCTCAACCCCGTAAGTCCAAATAGGCCTTATTATAGTCATGTAAATCAGTCTTTTATAATTGATTGGAAGGTTAGAGCGTTTGTCTAGTAAGTGTTGAAGTAGTCGGAAACGTCGAGCGGTTTCTTGTCGTTTCAGTCTGGTATAAGGATTCCAAGTTAGACGTTTGTCCAGATGGAGTCCTAGGTAACGGATTTGTTCAACATGAATAAGTGAGGTGTTGTTAAAGGATACTGAAGGACAGGAAGTCATTGGTTTACGACGAAGGGTGGAGGTAATTTGATGGGATTTATTGGAATTTATTTTAATTCTCCAGTTCTGACACCATTCTTCAAGGTTTGTGATGTGGGATTGAAGGGTTTGGGATGCAATAGATGGGTCGTTATTGACTGATAGGATACATGTGTCATCAGCATATGTGGTGATGACAGTAAAAAATGGTAAAATATTTTGTGGTAAAATATACCAGGGGTAAAATAAACCATGTTTTGTGAATTAATTATCTTTAAAAGTATTACTGCTCGTCTTATTACAGCTAATAGGATTTCAACAATCACTTGAAGACCATTTCATATAGGTAATTAGTTTCTTTCTTTCTTCCAAAGTCATTATCCTATTATATCTGTACAAAAAAAAAACCTTTTGGGCTCCCCTCCCCCAAAATTAAATACTGGATCCGTTAGTGGGGATGACCAAGTGCATGATGGAAGGAGAAGGTGGAAGAGGACATGCGGGCATCCGGATGGCGGAGGACAGAAATCTGTGGCAATAGATGTTAAAGCAGGCCAAGAACCACTTCGGTCTGTAGTTGCAGAACAAGAAGGGGAAGAAAGTGAAGTATTTAGATTGCACCCAACCTTGAATTAAAATGCTAAATTTAGAGCAAATATATCATATTTTTGATACCTCATCGATCACCATGTTCAAATTTACAGGTTCAAACGGTTTTAAAAGCATTAAAATTATATGTCCTAAAATCTTAGTAATTTATGACAAAGCTAGCGAGTATTATTCACATGTGGGTCGCGTGAGTTGTAGGCGATTATACCTGACGCTTTTCCTATTATATCCTAAATTGGTGTACGTGTAAGTACAGAATATTTGGACATTAAGGATCTTGAAACATTTATTTAC